CAACCGTGTTTCTTCAGGAAAGGCAGCAGACGTTTATTCAAACACTCTTTCACGTAAATTTCTTGGTTAACAGTCCCGGAAGCTATGAAAATGCTGCTTTTCAAGCCACAGGTACAGATGGCTTGCCAAACCAGATATTTCTTTGCGAACTTTGACAGTTTCATGTGCTTGAAAACATCTGCTACCTTTCCCCTTCCTTTTGCCGTATAAAACTCCTGTCCCTGAAGCTGCTTGTAGTCGGCTTTGACGTAGGTTTCGTCGTCCATTACCACGCAGTCAAACTTTGTCAGCATCGTCGTGTACAGCCTCCGGGATCGCGCTTTGGCCGTCGTATTTTGTTTATCATCGCGATTTGGAGTCACTACCTTCTTGTAAGTCGATAGTCCGGCTCGTTTTTTGGCTCGATGCACGGTTGTAGTCGATACACCCAGCTTATTTGCGGCATCTCGGAGAGAGAGGTTAGGGTTTCGCTTGAAACTACCAGCAACTCTCTTTGTCGTCTCAGCAGCTTCCGGTTTTCGATTTCCCCCCGATCCAGACTTCCTGGCTGTCGACAAACGTTCCCCAAACACTTTAATTACATTTGTAACGGTTGATTTGGCAACTTTTAGCGATTTTGCCAACTTTGCGTGCGAGTAGCTCGGATTTTCGCGATGCGCGAGCAAAATTTTGATACGCTGCTCTTCTTGCTTGGACGGCATTTTGACAACTGAAGAGTGAATTCCAAAATCAAAATAGGAGCAACATTCTACACACACACACACCTTCAAAATGAGGGGTGTTCAAGTTTTTTAAATGCAAAATTGAAAGAAATACGTCAAGTTGATATTGACCAAATTTTGACCGTATCACCCTTTAACTGTGCGGATTTCTAAATGGCTATTTATAACTGGCGCTTCATCCAGATTTAATGCATGCATGCGGACATTGTACGGTTCTACTCACGCTTTTGCTTTACGGACTGCTCCTCACCATCGTCTGTCGCCCCTGCGACGCTCGCTGCACGGAATACAAAGGACTCACCTAATTGGGTGCGAGTCTTGATTCGCTAATTCACCAACTGCTTTTCGTGGTGATATCCCGGTGGGTGGGAAAATTGCTCACCTGGAGCGCGATATTGAAGGCGCAACTCTCTTCAAACTCCGGCCGAAGTTAGGTGCCTTAATGCCGATTTGTTGGGTCAGGGTAGTGGTAATACTGGGGGTGGGGGGTGGGGGGGGGGGCGATATGCCGAGCGGGAGGTGGGACGAAACTAGAGACAAAAAGCCGTCAAACGGCTGTACAATTGGATGAGCGCATTGTTGCAAAACCGCATAGCAAATCATTTACATTTTTGCTTGAAACTAAAATCGCGCACAGTACCGCTCTAGCCTACTCAACTAAAGGGTGATACGGTCAAAATTTGGTCAATATCAACTTGACGTTTTTCTTTCAATTTTGCATTTAAAAAACCTGAACACCCCTCATTTTGAAGGTGTGTGTGTGTAGAATGTTGCTCCTATTTTGATTTTGGAATTCACTCTTCAGTTGTCAAAATGCCGTCCAAGCAAGAAGAGCAGCTACCAAAATTTTGCTCGCGCATCGCGAAAATCCGAGCTACTCGCACGCAAAGTTGGCAAAATCGCTAAAAGTTGCCAAATCAACCGTTACAAATGTAATTAAAGTGTTTGGGGAACGTTTGTCGACAGCCAGGAAGTCTGGATCGGGGGGAAATCGAAAACCGGAAGCCGCTGAGACGACAAAGAGAGTTGCCGGTAGTTTCAAGCAAAACCCTAACCTCTCTCTCCGAGATGCCGCAAATAAGCTGGGTGTATCGTCTACAACCGTGCATCGAGCCAAAAAACGAGCCGGACTATCGACTTACAAGAAGGTAGTGACTCCAAATCGCGATAATAAACAAAATACGACGGCCAAAGCGCGATCCCGGAGGCTGTACACGACGATGCTGACGAAGTTTGACTGCGTGGTAATGGACGACGAAACCTACGTCAAAGCCGACTACAAGCAGCTTCCGGGACAGGAGTTTTATACGGCAAAAGGAAGGGGAAAGGTAGCAGATGTTTTCAAGCACATAAAACTGTCAAAGTTCGCAAAGAAATATCTGGTTTGGCAAGCCATCTGTACCTGTGGCTTGAAAAGCAGCATTTTCATAGCTTCCGGGACTGTCAACCAAGAAATTTACGTGAAAGAGTGTTTGAATAAACGTCTGCTGCCTTTCCTGAAGAAACACGGTTGTTCCGTACTGTTTTGGCCGGATTTGGCATCTTGCCATTACGGTAAAAAGGCCATGGAGTGGTACGCCGCCAACAACGTGCAGGTGGTTCCCAAGGACAAGAACCCTCCCAACACGCCAGAGCTCCGCCCAATTGAGAAATACTGGGCTATTGTCAAGCGGAACCTAAAGAAGACCAAAAAAACTGCTAAGGGCGAGCAGCAGTTCAAGGCAAACTGGCTTTCTGCAGCGAAGAAGGTGGACAAGGTGGCTGTACAAAATCTGATGGCAGGGGTCAAGCGTAAGGCCCGGCAATTCGGATTTGGAAAAGCGGAAGCCTAACTGAATATTTTTCCTGAATTTTATACTAATTGAACTTGAAAAAGAAATTTAATTTGATTTTTTAAATAAACGATTTCACCGATTTACACGCGTTTTCCCTTGACCAAATTTTGACCGTATCACCCTTTAAATCAACAGTAGCTACACCTAATCAAAGAAATTAACGAACAATTAATTACACTGAACTTAAAGACACTTCTCACATTTTAAATACCTCTACAAACACACCGCGAAACTATACAAATAAACTTCACAGTCCTGCCTCTTCCACAGGTTGGATTAAAGTGGAAGAGAAAGAACTTGGGATTCCTCAGAAAGGCCGCTAAAACAATTCTTGGCCTTCGTTCCGGAAACCGAAAAAACGATCTTATCAAAAGGCGATCTCCGATTACCTTCCGATTCGATCAGAGATACTATCTCTTTTCCTCCCAAGTATCCCGCATCTGTCTAGCTCATTCCAATCTTTAACTTAAAGTGTTTTTCTTATTATTAAATTTCCTACGACAAGTAATCCTACTGGGAGATTATACTCAAATTTCATGCCCCTCAAATGAGAAAACTTACGCGCCTAGTGAGCGGATGAACAAAATAATGAGTGAAATTTCATGCAGGGGTAATTTACTCTTGATATGAGTTAACCAGTTGCATACAAGTGAACTGGGATAGTGCGTGTCGTTTCGAATAGTAACAGTGAACATTTGTAGCATTTGAACTTCATGCTACATTAATTTAATATCTAATTAGAGTACTGCTACAGGATGAAGTTTTCGATTCCTATGAGGACGTGAGGTACTGAACGTGTATGAGCCTGACACTCGTTCATTTGCAGAAAGTGAGGAAGCCAGAGTACCGGGTGTGGACAGGGACTTTCAAAGTTGGGTTCTGGCGGATTGGTAGGAGAAGCTCACTTTTCCTGAAAATCTAGATGGGTTGCGTGGGTGTGTTGTTGTTCGTGAAAGATCGATGATTGAAGTGATTGTTTGTCTTTGGCATGGGTCCATGACTAGTTTTATTAATCAGAAACAATGTTACAGTGGAAATATCACCCTTCAGGATCAGATTCATCAGTGGATTCTTCCTTTGTATAAATTTCGTCAATTTTCTTGTTTAACTTTCCTTTGTCCTTGGCAAGTTCCTCCCAGTCTGCATAATACAGAGCACCATACCTCTTCATAGTGTTTAATATTGAATCCCACCAGGTGAACGACGAACGACAGGGTCGTAAACGACGGGCAAATAAATTCGATGCTGCTCACAGGGTATGGTTTGATGGACGCCGCATGAAATGATCCCAGTAACGAAGCTGATGAGCACGAACTTTTTTATTATCCTTCGTTTACTAAGAGATATGTCCATGGATCGACGTACCCATCCTCAAAATAGCAAAAAATAGCAATCCCTCGCACGATCTGCCTCTCATAATTGCGCAATGACTTTCGACTATACTTTGTCAGAATACCTGAATAGTCTGAGTGCCGTATAACATGGAAACTGTTTGCCATTTGCATTTGTCTTATCATGACAGAAAGTTCTACCCAACAGCTTCCTTTCAGCCTCAGAGGAGTCCTCATAAGACAGACAAAATGGCTATTAAAATCACCAGCCACGACCCAGTAAAGTTCCAATACGGGATAGATGGGTGGCGGCGGTCTTATTTGGTGCATGAACATTAACAATGAATAAGCGCCGAGTAAGCAAGTCCTTTGCATATGAAACATCTGCACATAACAAAAAATTGCTGTGAAGACCAATGTTGTACCACTTGGAGAATTAGAATTAGAATTTCATCTATAAATGACAAAGTTATAAGCGTCAAGACCTAACGCCTTTTCGTGACGGTCGCAATTTTATCTTCCCGTAAGACGTAGTCCACATAAAAATGGGAATGCTTTGAAAAATGGCAGCGGCCGATTTGGCCCGGGGTGCATTTTGGGCTGTTTTCCCCTACAAAGGAAATGTAAACATTTGAAATCAAATAAAGTGATACATGAAACGTGAATATTGCTCCACAGTGCAATCATCTTCCCAATGGATCACAGGTGATCCACCATAAAAATCTAAGTTTTCAGCAGAATCCATAAACTTGAGTAAAATTAAACACATTTTGTCTTGGAGGATTGATTTGAAACCAATATTTCTATTTTTAAATGACGAAAATCCTTGCGGGAAGGAAAGGGTTGCGATTAACCGCACCTGCAATAACTTAGATTTTGTAGCATCACCTTGAGTAAGCTACCCAGTATTACCGAATTCTTACCTTACCACAATGGAAGCAAACCTAACGGCCGAGCTATGTGGAAGGCTATTAGCAACCTTCCTGCGCTGTGGCTAAGCGCGACGACCAGCACTAGAGCCTCTCGTGCCCAACTCAGTTTTGGAGACTTGAACGAGCGTTCAGAAAAGCAAGAGACGAATCTGGGTAAATTTTAACAATTTTTACACTTACCAGTATGACTCATTTCGTGTCTCATTCGGTTCGTAAAATCGGAGAACGCCTTATCACAGTGCCGACAGGGGAAAGGTCGTTCGCCACTATGAATACGCATATGATAGCGCAGATGCAACTTTGCCTTGAACAGCTTCGAACAGACCTAAATTCAAAACAAAATCAGTGCTTAGTTTGTCAGTTTTCTCTGAAGATTACTCACACTCGCACTTACCTCACACTTGAACTGTGGATTCTCCACATGGTTGGACATGTGAGCCTTCAAGCCACCCTTCTGACGGAACGACATTCCGCAAACGGTACACTGTGTGTTGAGAAAAACTCAATTATTTCACAAATTACGAGCGTTAATACTAGCAATACCAACCTGATACGGCTTCTCAAGCGAGTGAATTGTCATGTGTGTTTTCAAGTTGCCTTTTTGCGTAAAAGTCTTATCGCAAACGTCACACTTGAAGGGCTTATCATTTTGGTGGGTCAATTCATGCTCCGAAAGGCGTACGCCGCTGTTGAACTGCAGTCCACAGAGTGCACATTGGAACTTTTGCAACTTGTACAGCCGTTGTTGGTGATTTATCAGTCCATTCTTGTCATGGAACCGCCGGTAGCACACCTGACACTGAACCGGCCTATCCTGGTTCTCTTCCAATTCAGCTTCCTGTTTGTTGATTTGATGCGCTTTGTGTGCATGTTCGATCATATCCTTTTCAGAGGGGAACGATAGACCGCAAGCCTGCGCACAGCAGATCCATCCGAGTTCCTGTTGGATCGCTGCCTTGATCGGGGCCACAACCGCTGTGGGTCCCAATTTCCGAGGGTGCTTTCTGGAATGGTTGCGTCGTCGGGTTGCTTCGCTGAATCGATTCTTGCACTTGTTGCATTCCCAAATGATTTTCAACTGCCTCATGCGTTCCTTGTGATAGTTGACGCGGCGCTTAGACTTGTACTTGCGTAGACACCCGTCGCACAGTACTTTGGTTGTCGGTTTGGTGGTAGATTCTCTTTTTCGAACATGAAACTTACTTCGATGCGTTTCGAGTTCTTGAGCCGAATCGAACAACAGCATGCAGCCGCAGCAGATGTGACTTCCTCTCTTGACCTCGATAACCGTGTATAGTTCTTGTTCATATTCGTTCATCGCCAGATCATCTTCATCCTTGCGGCGACGTTTGTTCAGCAAAGGCCTTTCGTCTGTGTTCTTCATTTTCGGCTTCGCTTTCCGCCCGCGCTTCTTCGGTACCTTCCGATCAACCTCGTCGTCATCACTTGCCTTCCAATCGCTTTCGCTGTCACTGCCATCACTGCCGGAACTACGCTGCGAATCATCATCTCCACTTTCGATGGCAGCATCCTGATCACTGTCACTGAATGCCGTACCTATTTCTTCCTGTTCCAAGCCCGCGACGCTTTCATCGGCCAGCCCTTCCAATGGTTCGACCTTCACCTCGGTAAACTGAAACACATCCGTTTCGTTTTCCATTGCGATGACATCGTTCGTGCAACCACCCTGACTGGGCTTCTGATCCGGGCTGATTTCCGATTTGCAAATTTGTCGCAGCTGGAGATCGCAGTCGCGAGCGGTTTTCACAAAAGCTACCAACAGTTTCAGAGTCTCGATGCATCCGGTGCAAATTTGGGCCGGGAGGCCATCGTTTTCAAAGATCTGGGGATGGGAGGAAAGATGGTAGGTTGACTGGGTTTGTTGGCCTTTTTTAAACAAACTGGTTAGGTTGAATTTGAAAGTATTCCGATTCCAAAGATTACCCCTTTAGGGTTTTGCTTGAAGTATTTTGTTTATGCGTTAAAGATGCCCGAAATTGCTTACGAAGATAGTTGAATATTCTTTAATAGCACTTTGAGCTATCCATTGAACATGCTCACAAAGGGCTCTGAACTTCACCATGAAGACACCTGAAATAATTCTTGAAGAGTGTCTTTGAAAACATCTAAACTTCACGTCAAGTTGTGAATTTTTTTCGATGAGAAATATCATAAGTAACCCTCTGGGTCTTTTGAAGTCAATGATTATCTCCTAGATGAACAGTGTTTTCCGGACTGTGAACCACGTCGAGTCACAAGTTCGCTGATCTCATGTTCGCTTGTACGTACACCCACAGAAATTGGTGTTCCTTGGGGCACGATTTGAATCCCAAGGATTCAGAATACTTATTTTTGAGTACCAATGAACTTACCCTTGAAGATGTCTGGACTTGAGCTGCTAGATATCTGGGCTTGCCTTTGAAGATGTGGCCATACTTTGAAAATCTTCAGGCCATGCAAATGAAGATCTATTGATTTGCCTTTGAAGAGCTCGGACTCTGCTGTTGAAATCATGGAGCTGTTGAAGTTATCTGAACAGTATTCTTGAAAATCATTTGAAGAACTTCTCCTGCTGATTTACTCTGGAAGGTGGCTGAACGTTTCCTTATAGTAATTTTAAGAGGTACATGATGCCATGTAGGCTTGTTTCTGAAATATCCATGACTTATCACAAACATTAACAAGAAACGATGATGCCTTACGGAGGATACTTCCGTTCTGTGAGAAGACGGGCCCAGACATTTTTAGACTCAGAAAATCCCAACGACCATCGGACTTTTCCTTTTTAGAATTTTTAGAATCTGCTATTGGGAACTTCCAAAAGGCACTTGAAGGTGCCTGGAATTTTCGTTGCATGTTTCTGGACTTACCCTTTAAAGTCCCTTAAAGATCTGTCCAGAACCATGTCCAGATGCTCATAGAGTCTTTGAACTCCTTAGAATAAACCCGAGTAGCACTCTTTCATCACAATAAGCTACAGTAACTTGTTTATGACTGAAATAAGTCGTATATAAGTTTCTACAATTGATTTGTGACAAGCGTGCTACTAGGGTATCAGACCTCAAGTCATCCCAATGAGCTCTTAACGATCCGTGGTCGTTTCGTGGCAGGTTTCTGCCCTTGCAAGTCTCTGAATTCACTCACGAAGATATCCGAACTTTCCATTGGAAATCACTGAACATGTTCGTGTACTTTCGAATAAATGAATGAAAACTTGTTATTGTACCGTTGAGGTCCTCTCTACGAGCGTATGAAGATCTCTATATTTTTCGTTGAAGGTTTCTGGACATGCCTTTCAAGGTTTCTGAAATTGCTTTTCAAGTCAGAAATTTCCCTCGAAAATCTATAGACTTGCCCTTGCATTCCTATTTGAAATGCTCAGAATAAACCGAAGGTCTTTGGTCATCACGTTGAGAATTTCCGGGCATTCCTTGGAATGCCTCTAAATTTGCTTTCGAACTGAACTGACCCTTGAATACGAGTATGTTGAAGTACCCAAGTTTCTTTACTTGTGCTTGAAAGTCTCTTGCGTGCACTTAAGCATCTTTACGCTCTTTAAAAACCCACGTTGGTGTTGAGGTCCTCTCAAGATCTCTGATTTTTGATGAAGGTTACTGAGCATGCCCTTGGATGATTCTGAATTTGCTCTCGAAGTCATCTGTTATAATTTCTGAACTAGTCAATTCCTTGCAGATCTCAGAACACACCAGGATGGTCCTGTTTATAAGCGCTCGATGTTCTTTCGACTTTCCATTGAAGGGAATGCATGGTAAAAGGTTGAAGGACAAAAGGTCGAATGTACAATAGGTCGAACGGACAAAAGGTCGCTTAACATAATGGTCAAAATGGACAAATGGTCGAAATTGCCAAAATATCGAGTGGAAAATAGATCCGATGGACAAAAGGTTGTCTTGAACAAAATATCGAATGGAAAAAAGGTCGAATAGACAATAGGACGAATGGACAAAAGGTCGAACGGACAAAAGGTCAAATTGGACAAAAGATCGAATGGACAAAAAGTCGAATGAACAAAATGACGAAATGGACAAAAGGTCGAATGGAAAAGATAGAAAGTAATTTCCAGCACTCTAAGTTGGAGTGTTCAGTAGCTTTTATGTTACAAAAAAGGGGTGAATTTCAAGAATGAGAAGTAACTTTCAGCACTTCCAGCTGGATTCTTTAGCAGCTTTTGTGTTTCAAAGAACTTCTCATATTTTAAAGGAGTTAACTCCAAGAGAGAGAAATTACTTTCGAGTATTTCAATCATGTTACTCAAAGCTTAAGCTTGATTTGCTTTTTTTATCTAGGTCATTTATTTGAAAGGCTCAATCGCGTTAACTTTACGGAGCCAACAATTCATTGTTAATTGTTTTTAACAAAATTCTCTTATTTCTATGTCTAGTAGGAGTTGGGTCGAATACTCGTGGCTTACCCGAGGTTATAGGGGTACATTGTCGAAGGATAGGAGGAGCTTGAGGGTGGGGTTGATTTACTTGCTTGTCTTCCGGACCTTTTATTTTATTTTTATGTTTGATCCATTTAAGGGGAAAGGGGTCGTCATTAGTTTTCAAAGTTTATGCCGAAATACTGTCAATGAAAATGTTTTCACTGTGTTCTGGTTGGCAAGTAGAATGCAATAAACACATTTTCATGAACGTAATTTTGGTTTTGAACGAAGAAATTGCTTTTGAATTTTTGAAAATTAATGAGTTCCCCTTTCAGCTTAATGCGATTTAAACTTTTGAACCGTTTGCCCATTTCAACCTTTTGAACCTTCGACTTTTTTTTCCATTCAACCTTTTGTCCATTTCGACGTTTTGTTTACTCAACTTTTTATCAAATTCGACATGCATATTAAACCTTTTGACCTTCAAGCTTTTGCCCTTCGTCCTTTTGTCTCACAACCCTTGAACTACTTTAAATGCTTTGCAAACCTCAGAATATACCCGTTGAGGCACTACACACTTAGAAATAACTAATTTTACACGTGACGAAATCCATCTTTGACATAAAGGATGAGACGTAAACAAACATGTCATGGAAAATTATGTGCTCCAAGACTGAAAAATTCGATACTCGACGAAAAGTACGTTTGATTGAGCTGAATTTCACGTCTATTATGACTCAATTTTATGTCAAAATTGACGCTCGTATATGTCAGTCTCAGAGCACCTAAATTTACAAGAATTTTTCTAAGTGTGTAGGCATTGAAAATGTTGGGTCTTTCTGGTGAAAGTTTGTGGACATGCCCTTGAAAATCTTTGCATTAGCTCTCAAGGACATCTGAACTTTCCTATTGCACTCCTTTCCGGTTTCGAAAACGGACCCTTGTAGATCTTTAAACTTGTTGATGAAAGTCTCTCAATGTAAAACGTATTTTCCAGTAAGTTGTGCTTAAAGTCCTTTTCATAGGTCCATGAAGTACGCATGACTTAGCTAGGAAGTCCACAAGATATATCCTAGAAATTCTTTTAATTTGCCTTTAGAACTGTTGAACTGGATCTTGGAGACCTCTGAACTTCACAGCAATGATATGCGTACAGGTCCTTGAAGCTAGATCGTCGAGCTTGTTTTTCAAGCCATCTTTACTGAACTTTTAGGTCCTCTGAACTTGTTCTAAAAGATCTCTGTTCATGAATTTGATGACTTTTGGATGTGGTCTTAAATAGTTTTAGAGTTATCCTTCCTTTTGACGGCTTTTTCTATCGGTCAAAAAATGTTGCAGAAACTTGATCGTTACCTGAATGATGTTCCTCAACAAACAATTTGTGCTGATTAAAGGCTAAATAATCATTTTTTTTAATCTGAAGAAGTATATTTTTGCCTGTATAAGAATTTCTTCTGCCTCCAATGTTTATTGGATCGTATATATATACAACCTCAGCCATTCAGGAGCAATTAGGGTTATGATATTTATACATGCCCTTGAAGGCAGTTGAGCCTGCTCTTGAGCTACTTTAGAATTGCTTTTGAAGCTTTCTGAATTCATCCTTACGATATATATATATATATATATTTATTCCTGGTGATCGATCTCTGGACAGTTCAACACCTACAAACTTGATTAGATAGTTAATTTATCTGAAAAAAAGCTTCATGATCATACTGTTGGAGTAACTTCTAGAGTAGCTCTAATCGTATCGCAGCCGCAGCCATTTTTGCAGCCAGCGTATTTTTAGATTGTCGCAAAGTTGTCTTCTGACTACCTAATCAACAGTTCTGCTTCTTCTTTCTGTTCGCAGTGACATCTATTACTGCAGTAAATAAGGGCTAGTGGCTTTGACAATATGCACTTAGTTAACAGTTCAATCAAGTTAAATCAAGCAGTAGTGCAATCCCTGATTGAAGTGTTCGGAGCTCACCGCCATAAAAGAATGTCACAAACAATTTGGCAGCTGTGAACTCAAAACTGTCATAATTGCAAATAGTCCCTTTGTATTTATTATGCAAGTTTTTCGACACTAACCAAAAAGCAAATAATAAGTACAAACAATGGCTATGATCTACATAACAGAAAATTAATGTCCCCCCCATTACAATTTCTTCGCCGAAGTACTTCGATGATGGAAATATCGTAATTTACTCCGTCCTCAACCAACTTAAACTAAACATACTCAACTTCAGACGGACTAACCTGGATGGCCGTGCACTCCATGATGATGTTCGCTATGAAGGCATCGTCCAGCTTGGAGTAGATCGGAACGAGCTGCTGGTGCCGCTCGTCTCGGTTCGCATTCATACAGGTTCGACAAATTTCCATCGTGCTCGGATGCCACCGGTGGCCACCAACGGTACGAACGCAAATTAACAGCACCCGGGTTCACTTTAAATGGTTTATTTTTTCTTCGAAATTTTTTTCACTGTGGTTTACGACTGTCAACAAAAAATTTTTATGAATGGAAATTAATGTAATTTTTGTGTTATTTTTTTCTTCTTTAGTTCGACTGTCATTCGCTCTGTTGATGGGTAGAATGCGAACGGAGCTGAACTTGCTTGACCGTTTGACAGCTTATCTCGGTGTGCGTGGCGTTTTCTGTTTGTAAACAAAGCAAAATCTAACGATAGGTTGATTCAGTTCGTGTTCTGGAGCTGGGCTTAAACTTTCAATCTTCGATTAAATTATGAATATTTGCAACGTGTAAACAAGTAACAGTGTTACAAATATTTGAAAATTATTCCAACTGAATCCATTCCAAGGTAGGAAGTAGAAAAATGAACATTTGCCGAACGTGTGCGGCAGAGTCTAGTGAGGAACTGGTGCCGATATTTTCCAAGCTGGATGATAAGTTTATTGCGAATGTGATCGTTGACTGTAGTTCTGTGACGGTGAGTTGTTATTTTTATTTTATGTCCAAACACTTATCCATATAAGTATGGCAATTAATGTCGTTAAAAATAATGGCTCTAAATTAAGTTCTAGGCTAGATAATGCCTGTTTTGCGGAATGGAATTGGATTCAAATATTAAAAGTCATTGATTTGTATGATAATGGAAAGATTTCGTTTTTTACTGTAGTGTGGGAGGAAGAGATGAAAGTCACCCAAAATTAACTTGTAAGGTCAGGCTACATTTTAATTGCTGTCACTTTGCAGTAAAACAAAATGTAATAATATGTTTCATTTTAAGATGTATTTTACATTGGTGCATTTTCCGCAAATTTATTGATTCAGGCGGCAAAATGCTGTCATAATCTCATGTAATATGACAGAAGGAATGCAATGCTTTTTTTCAATTTTAAATGCGTGGAAAAAATCATTTTATATTTTTGGTAAAAACAACAAAGTAAATTGTCCTAGTTTCTTTAGAGTTCGAGGTACCTTGAGAGTGGAAGTGAAAATCAATCAGGGACTGGAGATGGCATCGCAAGACTTAACAACCACACTACTACCAACCAGTGAAAATTTACGATCTTATATTGGCTCACTACTTGACTAGCCTATTGGTCCCAAGGAAATCTATTAACGTACCCCATTCTTGTCGAAATTCTAGAGTACTACACTATGTTTGTTTTGATCTAAGAGGAAGAGGTGACAATTGGCTTCTTCCTCTTTTATTTCTATCTCTATCTCTATCTTTATCTATCTCTATCTCTATCTTACGCACATGAAATCGGCCAATCAGGAGCTGGTTCACGTTTGACAGAAAAGTGGTTCATTTTCGCCCCCGTATTGTCACCTCTTCTCTTAGGTTTTGATTCGCTATGAAAGTTTGGCATATAAAATGAGGGGTTCGTGGATTTTCCTATGTTTCGAGGGGTGCACCGATTAGCAGAGCTGAGCCAAAAAGTTGAGCACGTTTCTTCGGAACCATCTGGTCTTAAAGTTACCTCTATGCTAGTACTTTCTCTCTGAGATAACTAAGTTGGTAATTACGAGAGGAGCAACACAATAGTTGGGTAAATATGAATTGCATTATAACACACCATCGACTGGACATGCTTTCGGCAACTTGGGGCTTTACGTAGTGATGAAAACGTCGCTAGAACTATTCCACAGCCGCAGACAGTAGGTATATGAGCAAGTCAAACGCGCACTTTTTTGCCTATAGCTTTGAAGACATACTTCAAATCTCCTCGCACATCGGACGATTTAGGCAAAGAAGTGTGTGTTTGACTTGTACTGTCGCATTAATGGCCTTTCGCTCATTTTCAACTTCTATTCAATTTTCATACTGCCGTACCCTAACGGAACTATCTACCTACCCTCTTCTAAGACCATTCTCTATCTAATAAATTATCACACTAAAGCTTCATGTTAGCTAGTATTTCCAACCAACTCTCTAAATCTATTGTCTAACTGTCAGATTTTCCGCAACGTATCACTAACGGATTCAATGTGCGGAGGCCTTGAGTCTTGGTGACGAAGTATCTAATGTCAAACAAAGGTGCATCCTATGTATACACCCTGAATTATTTCGGTGTATGGCAGTGTAGCTACACCGCAAAAACGAAAACGACATAAGTATCGAACCGCACAACAACAGTCTGGTTCAAGGCAAAGATGGCGAAGGAAGCGTGGGCCTGGACCAGCTTGAAGACATACTTTTTACTCCGCTACCCGAGCAGGAGAAAATAACTTATGGATACCAAATTCAGGTATGATATCAGCTTAACTGGCAACCTACATATGGTATTGATCAGCCTGACATAAGAGGAATATTACCAAAAATAATACGTTAAAAATGTTCTAAGACTCATGGGTTTGACGTTGATGGAGCGCCATGCGTGGAAAATTGTGAACCTCGTTGTAGAAAAATGGTTGTTGCATAGTGTTAATGGCATTGGTCTGTTAAAAAAATCTGATAGCATTTTTTTCTCAGCTTTCAGATGGTGACATCAAAATGAAAATCGGTGATTGCAAACATAGTGAAAAAAAAAAAAAAAATCTGGAAAAATTCAATATGGTGGCCAAATTCAAGATGTCCAAAAAAATATCCATTCTGAATTAAAGCCCAATCCTTCCTCTTCAGTCTTCATAATAACGTATTGTTTCGAGGAGGGTTGCATATCAAATTTAAAAAATTTAACATTATAAATATGTCAAACATTGTTTGAAATTCAAGTTTTGTGAAAGCTGTAAGGCCCCTGAACCAGCGAGGGTACCATTAATTTGAGCTAAGGAAAGTGGCAATCTCATTTTTCATCAGTTTCGACCAGTCAAGTGGATATATTTAAATGTTTAAAGACCATGTGTCTGCCTGGTTTCAACGAGAATTACTCTATACTAAAATTCTAAGTAAACCTACAACAGCGACAAACCATAATTGGGGATGACTCCAAACTTTTAATTCCCAATTCCCAATTCTGAGAAAATCAGTCATGAATATTCAGCGTGAATTTAAGAAATGAACAACAACTTTAAGAGAAGTTTTGGTAAACTAAAATTGTAAAATATATTCGACCAGTTACTTGCAAACAAAATTTCAGTCAATACCTTTCGAATGACCTATAAAACCTATAACCGAAAAATCTATATAAAGATTGAAAATCGTTCGTAAAATGGCAGAGATATGAGCAAAAAACATTTACATGTTTTTTAAAGGGTGACCGCTAACTTATGATTGGGAGTGTACCTCTGAGTGTTGGTGTAAGTGAGTGTAAAATTAAACTCGGGGCTTGTTTCTCTGCAGCAAACACTTAGATACTTTTTGAACCTTTCCAGATGTGGGCCCGAGAAAAAGGCGAAGTTGTATAACAGATTCCATCAATCGTGTCCTCAATTGGTTGGTTATCCTTCTATACGAGACTTTCATCAAACCCAAAAATCAATATTTCCATGGAAATCCATCCCGTTCACTGCAGAACCTTCCAAATAAAGTAGAACATTCAAATCAAATTTTGTTTCCCCCGTTCCAGATCAACGAAGACGATGGCCTACCGTCGTACGTCTGCAGCAACTGTTTGGTCAGCGTCAAGGAAATCCTACGCTTTGCCCAGAAAGTCCGCGAATCGGATCGTAAACTGCGGCTTCTGTTCAAAGGGGAATCTCTGCCCGCCGGTGTCAAAAAACAAGAACAGGAACCAGTGGATGGCACCTTCGTAACCGTTCCCCTGGAAGTGGATTTGACCGAGGTTAAGCTGGAAGTCGAAGACGAAGACTCGGTGGAACAAGGTTTGAAGCAGGATGAAACCAACGTGCTGGAAAGCGAGCCGGAGTCGAACGACAGTGAAGATAGCAATGATAGCGATTGGAAGGGTGATGGTAAGACATCGGATGAAGAACCCGTGGAAGAAAAAAAGGCTGCAGGAAGGAGGACTAGACAGAAGACCGCTGTCAGTGCAAGTTCGGACCAGGAAGATGATAAACCAAAGAGAAGAAGGCGCTGGAGACCGAAGAAAGTTAGCGACGACGAGGATGATGGTGAAGACTCTGATCTGGATGAAGTGGAACAGAAAACATTTAAACTTGTGCAGGCCGAGCAGGGTCGATCTTTTTGCTGCTTGTGCTTTAAGGATTATGAAACTCGAAAAGAGTTGGTAGAGCATGGAAAGGAAAAGCATTCAAAGAAAGTCAGAAAGGTCAACTACTCGAAAAAGTACGTCTGCGACGTATGCCACTGCAGATACATTACAAAGGAATCATTAGAAGAGCATCTGGCTATGGCAGACAAGTTATCAAAGAAGAAAATTTATGAGTGTTTGCGTTGCTTCAACCGATTTATTACCGTCAAGCGAAGGCGTATCCACGCTCACAACCATCCCAAGTATGCTGAAATTCCGGATCCAGATACGGAAGAGAAACGAAAGCGTGCGGCAACGTGCTGTAAGAAGGGTTGCTACAAGAAGTTCCCCACAAAGGATGATCTTCTCGAGCACGGCAAGAAGGAACATATGGTCCACAGACCGCAGATAAAAGACCCCGCGAAACCTCATGAATGCCCGGTTTGCTTCAAGAGTTTCGAGAAACTGCAATCGATGAAGCGTCATCGGTACAGGATGTTCGATTCCTGCATGCAGTGTTCGATATGCGGCAAGGAGTTCAAGAGCCGCAATTCGATGATCACCCACGAGCGCAAGCACAATAATGAGAAACCGTTCGCGTGTGAAATATGCGGCAAACGGTTCGCGATAAGGAACCAGCTGAAGAATCACATGGCGATACACCAGGATGACAAACCGTTCGTCTGTGCGGAGTGCGGTTGGAGCTTCAAGCGGGAGTGCAACCTAAAGATTCATATGCTGCAGCATAGCGATACCCTGCCGTGGAAGTGCGATGTGTGCGGGAAGTGCTTCAAGGTGAGTGCATTTTCTTTGGTGTTGATTGGTACAGAGATTTTGTGTGAAATTTGTACTATGTGTTGGGCCCCCGGTTAACCTATATGTAACCAAGCCTTTTCTTCTATATAATATATATCTCCCATGTTGTCAGGTTTTGACTGATTTTGA